CTGAAAATGATAATAATTTTAAAAGATAAGAATAAAAGAACTATTTGAACTTGAAATATAATTGGTTTCTTCTAAAGAAAATACAAAATACAAGTACTTCGACGACTTGAATTATTTATTTAGGATATAAAGACCCTAAATTTATTTATAAGCTAATTTTAAACATTGTTAATTGTTAGTTTCCTCAGACAGCGGAATAATTCAAGACCAAAAATTGACTTAACTTATTAATATGGATTTTGAATTATGACTTTCTAATAAAATTGTTCGAATAATTATACTCAAACATTTATTTTTGACAAAATATTATTATACATATAATTATTTATTAAAACCAGCTAGTCTCTAGACTTGTCTAATAGAGAATTCGATGTTCTGTAACATTGCCACAGCGCAGCAGCTCAAGCCTTTCCGTACTTCTTTCTAGTTCTTGCAGCAAATGTGGCATTGAATTTCATATTGCTCTTGCCCCAGCGATAGCCCCAGTGCTCCTCTGTCCTTCGTACAGCAAGTCCGATGTTTCGGGCCCGGCCGTCTCGATCTGAGCCACGGACCCCTGTTTACCCCTGCTTCATCTCCATGGCTGGACCGCTCTGGTCGATGGCTATGTAATGGATGTTATGTTCTTGGCGGCGATCGCATGACAGGCGCATGTTGCAGCCGCTGGCATCCGCACCATTATGGCCAAGAGTCGCGAGTCGCTGGCGAGTTGCAACCCACCGTGGCCCAATGCATCGCGCATTCCCCAAAAAGCGTGTAATCAATAAACAACAAGAGCCATCGCCAGCGAGGCCTTTTCTCTCTGTCGCACCGGCTGGTCGTCTCGCTTGCTCGGGATCACTGGATGAGATGGGATTCGATGGGATTCGACGGGCTGGCCTGGACCTGTGGCACCTTGCGTCTCCCCGGTGTAACCTTTGGGAATGCCGTGGCGATTGCGCTCGATTGTATCTGATTCGCTCTCATCTTCGTTTTCTTTCCTCTTTTTTTCGGTCCCAGTCCGGGGATAATGATCCATTGTTTGCATCCTGAACTTGTTTAAAAAAGCGCTCAGTCCACACACTCTTGCACACGATTTCAGCTCCACTCCATCTTGTTTGCCGTCTGGCTGCCTCATCACCGTCAATGCTCCCGTCCATTTCTGGGCCCAAATGGCCGGAATATTTGGCCAATAGCATTTACTACAGCTCGCTTTACTTAAGGTATTTCTAAGCAAATTATAATAAATCTTTTGTAAGTGATTAGAAGTGGGCCTCATATGGTTGAGAAACAGGGATTCATTTACAGAGGAATAATAAAATATCATTATGTAAATGTGTGTTGTATGTGCAATCTATCTATCTAATAATACTTTCATACTTCAGTTACAAATACTATAGAAATTTATACCTAGAAATCATTATAATCTCCCACAATCCCTTCAAATAATTGACATACTCAAAAGTCCGTCAAAACCGCCTCACATTAAATCAAGCTCAAGCGCAATTTGCATACAAATTTCAGATCCCAGACCTTCTGTGAAATGATCTTTCAGGGAATACCGAAATGTGTTAAGATATGCAGGTAGACGTCATCACGATCTGAACCGAAACAATTTTGCATTTGGGGGCCAATAATTTCAAGAATTGATACAAACTAAATAAATCACTCACAAGGACAACACCCCCGATCCTCCGGGAGGAGGAATTCGCCACGGATTCGAGGATCGTGCAGGGCTTGTTGGCTGTCAGGATGGGCAACGTTTCGGCTTTGAGTTAAGCGGAGGTGGGGCAGAGCATACGTAGAGTCCGTCCTAAATGACCCATTGTTTTGCTGGCTCCTAAACAATTGTTCTGCCTGACGACTGATATCGGTCCGAGGATGCTGTCGCTGGTCTGGTTTCGGCTTTGGGAAGAAACAATCGATCGTTGGATCTGAAGGCGATCCTGTCGCTGCGACAAATATCACGCATGAATATTTAAAAGTTTCCCTTTTCCCTTTCCTTTTCCGCATAAAACACAAAGGTGGGTTCGTTGAAATTTATGGCCGTCAGCGGGCCTCGATTTTGTGGAATATCATGTTGTTGGTCATAAAAAACAAGCCAAAGCCAAAGCCAAAAACGTTTCTCGATTCCTAGCAAATCAGTTATGAAGGGTCGTCTTCAGGCCAACGTAGCATACATTATTCGAGGGTATTGCTTGAGAGCTTGGCACGTTCGCCGTGATTTACTGCAGATGGCAATCCTGCCGCGCTGATAAGGCTCAGCGATCGCAATCGAAATAGTAAATCTCTGTGCCTTATCGGCGGCGAAGTCATTAAACGATTATCTTGCAATCGCTCAAATTGTTTTATTATTAAAAGCTCGGCGAACAGGTGAATACGGAGCCATATAGCCATCATATAGCGCTATAGCGATAGGGATAAGCCCGCTCAGTGTCATGCCAAACTCTTCCTTCTGATAGCGACAAGAACGGTGATGATGATGATGATGATGATTGCGTTGGCGGAATTTACGACGCAGACATGAGTCTTGCATTGTAAATCAGTCATTAGCTATCAATTCCCGTGATTGATTTATACTTTGTTTTTGATCGCTATTGATCATTTTTCTCGTTCTTTTTGTTAGATTAGATTAGTATTATTTATAGAACATTTATAAGACAAAACGTGCACTGACCTGGACTTTTAGTTGGATCGAAGATATCCACAGAAAACATTGATGATTATTAGGGCATTGGAAATAGTTTATTATCATTATTATTATAAGCTTTCTTACTTTTATTTTATAGCAGTGCTTTGGTTCAAAATGCGTAGGCATCATAATGATTATGAAATTTAAATATTAATAGAAATGATCATATAATATCCAGAATTCAGACTTGAGAATTACTAAAACACTCTGCTTTAATGTTACTTTTAATTTGTTTTCTTTTTTCATGGGAAATGTACTTTAATGTGTGGTAAAATAGTTTTCTGTTATATGTAATATGATTACTATATTTATAATACCTCTTAAACACAAAAATCGGAGCTATTGCCCAGTTATGAGTATTTTTATTAAAAGTTTTAGCGAAACTGAAGCTAAGGCTGATACTCATACTGTAGCTGGAAGTATACAAATAATTTAATATATTATCACAAGTTTAAAGGTTTTTTTATATTTTAAAGTAAGAGGAAATAATATTTTAATTATATAATATATATCTACATAAATGCAAGCAATTTGTTAATTATTTTTAAGCTTAAGCAGACGATTCGATCTAGTCTCATTTATGTTTCTTCTTATTAACATTGCCTGATCAAGTTTTCCCTCTCTCATCGATCTTAATTTTGAATGAGACTAAAGTATCATTCCTAAATCGCTTTCATAAATTCCATCTAACGCCATCCAACGCTGTTTTTTCTCAAGTCAATGATAATTTTGACTGGACTCCCTGCAACTTAATCTGCATCGGCATTGCCCAGATGTGCTCCGCTCGCATCCCGCCGATCTAGATCGCGGTGTGATCCATATGGGCAGCGAGTAGTCGCTAACCATAATTTATATTTTCATGCGCATGCGCCTGTCAACGGAGCGCGGAGGCAATATCTAAACAGCGACTCTGTTTAATGGCTGCCTTGACGACGCGGATCGGGGGCAAAGCGATCCGGCGGCGGGTTAATTTAAATACAAACAACTGGCTACAGACGGGCCCGGGCCCGGACCCGGTGCGATGGCGCTAAATCAAACGATGAACACGAAATTGCCATAATGACGGCACTAAGGTGCCCTGCGACGCGCGCGATCCTTTCGACAGACTGAAATTATATTGGTAAATGGCTGAGCACTTGTTGAGGCCTCTCGAGCTACTTGCGAAAATTGCTACATTGAAAATTATTGCACATGTTTCTGCAGTGAATCCAGCGCACAGAAGCCGAAAACGTTCATCAAAAGTGCAAATTTGTGGCAGCTTCTTGGCAGGCTTTTTGGGTCTCTACAATCTGGGAGTTTTGGCCACAGTGTCTCCACATACGTACCGCCAAATGCTGCATCCGATGATCCAACAAAAGTCGCTTAAGTCACGACTCCACAGAGAAGAAGCCTAGGGGGAAGTCTCTGGGAGCGGCGGATGAAGAAGGGCTTCCGACGCCGACCTTTCAGTCGCGATGAGTCACATTAAACCAGCTTCAATTGCTGGAATTCTTGGCACTGCACCATGATCACCGCACTGCAGACCAAGCGCAATTGCCGTCGGCATTTCATGAGCGTATGATTTTGGAAGACTAAATAATAATATTGTAAACACACCAGTATTGGTATACCCTTGCAGGGTATTATAATTTTAGAAACTTGCAGGACAGTTAAGGATTCATTTCCGAGCTTATAATAGTGTCAACAGCAGAGTCGATCTATCTACATATGTCCGTCTGTCCGTTTCTACTCAAACTAGTCTCTCAGTTTTTAAGCTATCAGAATTAAACTTTGAATTTAGTCTTGTGAATATTCTCACTACTATATATGTTGGAATGGAACGGATTGGACGACTTTACCATATAGGAACGATAGGACAATTTTTAAAAACATTATAACTTCGTTGTTTTTCAACATATTTTCATCTATTTTGAGATATCACCATTTTGTGTTAGTGTAGAATTTCGGTTTTAATTTTATGAAAATCGGACGAGTGTATCTTATAGCTGCCATAGGAACGATCGGACATGTAGAATAAAATATTATATAAAGCATAATCCAGCTTGTCTAAGTAAAACTTTAAATACAATAGGTTATAGATAAGTTAAAGTTGGCTTTACTTTTTTTCAGCGTATATTTATAACTGCATACTGCTAGGGTATACAAACTTTGCCGCTCCAAAGTTAGCTTCCTTTCTTGTTATAATTTAAAATACATCTCCTTGCTTTAATATTCAATTTTAAGTTTAAAGGCCAGACTGCAGTCAGTATATCTAGGCATTCAAGGCAAAAGTTAACTTCTGAAAACAAAAATGTTTAAAATTATTGTGGTTCTGCTATCTATATTGTGTATGAATAGCGCCTCGGCGTTCCAAGATTTGGACTCGCAGGATACTGTGGCATCTGATCAAGCTCTTTACAACATTAATGGAGTCATCCTAAGACCGCATAAGCCGCTAAGCCAGAAATTAGATATGCGGGATGTAGCACTATCGATCAATAATGGCCAGTTCAAGGGATTCGTGCGATTGGACGGACGCTTCACAATAAGTAGTGTGCCGAACGGAAGTCACATTCTGGAGGTGCACCATCCGGACTTTTACTTCGAGCCCGTGAAGGTGGAGATCAACGGAAAGGGAAAATACCGCGCTCGCAAGGTCAGCTACACCCAGCCATCAGTGATCAACCAGGTGCCATATCCACTGCGCCTGCAGCCACTTTTTCGGCGAAACTATTTTCGTCTTCGGGAGCAATGGCGCCTAATGGATATCCTTCTGAATCCTTTGGTTCTTTCTATGCTGGTGCCGATGCTTTTCATGTTGATTCTACCGAAGATAATCAGTGATCCAGAGGCCAAGAAGGAGTTGGACAACATGCCGTTCCCGAAAATAAAGGACATACCGGACTTTGGCGACATGCTCTCCTCATATCTTTCGGGCACCGCTAAGCCAGGACAAAGGGAAATCGCTGAGAGACCCCGAAAGAAAGCACAATAAATATAAGTTCCTCCCGGAAAGAAAATAATGAGAATCTCGAGTTTTTGTTAATTCCATAAAAACGGTATTTTTATTTGATCACAATGTTCTCTCTCTTTTCCAATTACATAACTCTTTGCCTAGGCGTGTGGCAGCCCTGATAAGGGCTTGTGTGTGTTTCGGGTTAAGGGACTCGTCTTGTACTCTATTCCGCAATCTATCAGCCTGCAAGCCTAAGTCTTTCAAGGATTCCGATTTGGTTTTTGCATCCTGGAAGGATAAGAACAAAACATAGGGGTCTTAATAAAATATGTCGTCTTAGGGAGTGTACTGCAGTCGTGTTAATAGCAGAACTTAAGCAATCTTTTTTGCACAATTAAATTATAAAGCAAATGATAAATACTCGTGTTGATTAAATACTTGAGAACAAGCTTCAATTAAGACATACTTAACATATATATTATATATATAAGAAATGCTTTAAAAACTATTGAGATGTGAACAATAGTTACCTTGAAAAAGTAGGCCTTGCTGCTTCGCTGAAGAGCCGGGTGAACAGGACGCGGCAGGAATCGTTTTGGGTAACAACACCCCCACTCCACTTGCCGGGCGTCGAATCTGTGATTATTTCGTTCTAATCTTTACAGCTTTGCAGCACCGATCCTCGCCAATTCCGCGGGCGTGGTCCTCTGCCCTTTTCGGTGTCTTTTTCTGGTTTTAAACAAAATGTCGTTCATGCCTGCCATCATTTCACAAGATGCATGGCCATAGTGGCCAAGTAATGGCTTCTTCCGCGTGACACTTCGACGTGAATCTCGGTTCGCAAGGCCAAACCCAAAACACACCCTGAACCCTGGACACAGATGGTGGGTTTTGCGGATTCAACAGGGCGGAGGCGAGGCGGCGTTGGCAAACCAAAAAGTTGAAAATGTGTTTTTCTCGAAACAACGAAAACAAGGCAAACGATTCGATTCGATTTCGCTTTTCGTCTCGTCTTTGCGGACTTTTAGGCGGTCTTCTCCTTCTTCACGCAGAATTGTCGCAGGGCCGCCAGTGAGTTTCCGCCGCTGCCACTGAGATTCTCCGGAGACTCGGATCCACCTGCGGCAGCAGCTGCTGCAGCTACCAGCTTGGCTCTCGTATTGCCAGCGCCTCCTGCGCCACCGCTGCTGCCCAGGGAGTCGAACATGGAGGATAGTGCATTCAGAGAGTCGCTGGGATACTTCTTGGGGTTGCCCTCGGAGCTGCCATCGTAGGACTTGTGACTGGAGGCGGGTGACTTGGGTGTAACGGATCGCTGGCTCTCGGCCGGACTCCTGGGAGGCAGCAGCAACCTGGCTTGAGGACTGGCTGCCGACGATGATGGTGTCTTTGGTGAGCTCCTTTCCACGTTATTGTTATTATTGCTGATGGCAGCCGTGCCATTCACCAACGTTGTCTCCATTTTGGAAGGCTCGTCAGCCTCAATCTGCTGCTCGTCGCCTTCGACCTCAGACTTGATCTCCATTTTGATGGACTCGGCGGGCTCTGTCTGCTCCCTTTCTTGTTTGATCACAGGTTTGGAAGACTCCTCATCCAGCGCCGCCGGATGCTGCTTTTCGGGAGTGGGAGGAGCGTCCAATCGCGGCCTGGCCTCTGCACTGCACTCACTGCCGCTCCGTTCGCTGCTGGTGTACCTGTAGTGCTGGTAGTACGGATCATTGGTGTCAATAAGAGGCTTGTTGTAGTCCACAGTCTCATCGATTCCCAGGCGCTTCAGTATGCTAGAGGCCACTGGCGATGTGTTTTTGGTGGATGAGTTGGATGGACTACTGGCTGGCAGGCTGGCGTGTCTGGGCGGTGTGTCAAAGCTGGTGGTGAACATCTGCTCAATGGCACTTAGCACGGAGGATGCCCCTGGAGCCGCCTTGGCGCCGCCATTCTTCTGTTCCACTAGCTCAGGGGACTTGTTCTTGGCGAGGAGTTGAGCAGCCGCCACTTTGGCCATTTCTTCGGGGGATTTCACACCCGTAATGTACTGCCTCATGCGCTCGGCAAAGAGAGCGGCATCGTTTTTATCACCACCACCGGGTCCCAAGCCGGGCTTTCCTTGCACAGCGGACTTTTCGGCTGCCAGATCCTCCTGGTTTGAGGCTCCTCCCTTCATCTCTAGGAGCTTCCGTACCGGCAGAGATTTCTCGCGCTTCTTGGGAGCTGGTCGCTTGCGAGCTCCAGCGGATTGCAACAGGGGCTCAGCATAGTGATTGTTTTTGGCCATGTGGTTGCTCAGATCTCCGAGGGAGCTGAATGCCTTATCACACACCTTGCAGGTGAGCACGGCACTCAGGGTTCGACTTTCCTCGGAACTCAAGCTATTCTGGCTCTCCTTGGCATCCGAATTGGAATTGGAATTGGCTGACTTTATGGAGATGCTCTGTTCCTGAGAGAGAATATTCGTGTAATGCTGCGTCTCCTGCATATGCTTGGTCATTTCTCCAAGGGAACGGAAGCTTTCGCCGCACCGCATGCACTTGAGGATCTGCATGGCCTGCTCCACACCCTTGCCCAACCAAACGTTCTGGCCGCGAACCAATTTCCTGGGCAGCGGCGTGGGTGGGTCTCCTCGATACTGGAAGGCATTCTTTACGTTCGCAGATGGTGAGTGATTCGAGCCGCTGCCGGAGCCACCCTGCTTCCTCAGATTATGGTTTTGCGGTGGCGGTGGAGGAGCTGGATGCTGATGGTGTTGATGGTGCTGCTGCTGTGGATTATTGCTTGGTAGATTGCCGAAAGGTGGCACATTGACCCCACAGTGCTTGCTGTCCTTCATGTGGGTGGTGAGGGCCTCCAAGGTGGGGAAGCTCTGCTTGCACCACACACACCTGAACACCGAGCTGGCCACTCCCTTGTTCTGCCAGTGCGATTGCCAGATATTGTGCCTGGCCTTGGTCACTCCACTACTTCCACTTCCTGCTCCTCCAGACTCGGAATTCTGATGGCTGGATGCCGACTGAACGGGACTCTTTGGTGGTGGTGCTGCAGCTGCTTGTGGTGGCGTGGCCTTGGACGACGAGTGCATTTTCTCCTTGCTGCTCAGGCCACCCGCTCCTCCTCCTTTAACAATGTCGGACATCTTTTCCAGAGGGTCTACAACCAGATCACTTTTGCCATTCCAGTCTGGGAATTGTCCCGCCCGGAAGATATTGGCTGCTGCTACTGCCGCCAAGTATGGATTCACTCCTGGCAGCAGCTGACTGGCTGTAGGCGTGGCAGGCCCAGGATTCGCAGGCGGACTATCCGACTTGAACATCTTTTTCACCTGGATGTGACCCAGTAGCTGTGGCTCCGAGTCGTGGCCACGCTTCCGGGTGCCCACAGAGAGATCGAGGGGATTGTTGGCGCCATCATCGAAGTCCTCTTCCTCGCCTTCCGAAGCCGGTGGCTCCGCCGATTCCGCCCGACCATACAGATTGGTGCGAAAGTCCAGAGCCTCTGAGTGGTTGCTCGATGATGCAGTTGGCGAGGCTTGCGGAGGAAGTTTGAATGGAGCGGCTGCCTCGTTTGGCAATGGAAGAGGTAGGCGTGGCCCCGCACCCGCCGCAGCGGCTGCAGCTAGCGGGAATCCGTATTGCTGGGCAGCCGCCGCCACCATGTGCAGGTACGCCTCCATCGAGGGCGGCTGGGCGGGTAAAGACTGCGGCACAGCCGGGAATGTCGGGTGAAGGGATGGACCGGCCATCATACCGGCGGACATGGCGGCGGCATCCATGCGCTGGCCCACTGCACCGCCGTTGCCAGAGCCACCACCACCGCCGCCGCCATTGTCCGACGAGTTGGAATCGTGGGATGGGCAGCGCTCGCTGGAATTCGCCGACTCCGTGGAGCGGGGACGAGCTGTGGGCAGGGCGCTGTAAGTAAAGAAATTAAGAATAATTTAGAACTTTTTTCGTATGGTATTACTAATGGTTACTAATGGTTCTAGGGTGGAATAACACCAAAATGGAGTAAATTGATAAAAATTTTCATTGAAAACTACTTTTTGTGAATCAAGTCATAAAAATAAGAAGGTAAATAACTCTTAAATTTACAAGGTTCGGTTAATAAATTTGGTATGCTTAGTACGTCAATGTATCTGACCTCTATTTTAATTCAGGCAGAAGATAAAGCCCATCATTAAGACCTAATCAGCTATACATTAATCCAAAATAGCTCAATAAAGCAAATAGCGTCAGCGCGAAATAGCTTTCTCTCTCCCCTGTGGCCACCAGATAGTGACTTTCACATGCCGATCTTCTTTCTATCCTATAGAGCAAACCGGTAGATAAGCAATGAAGAGCATTCGAAATCTTTATGGCTTCCAAAGTATACACTTTGATTCGGTCGGCATGTCTGTGCTAAATCATTTGCTGGCCAGAGGGGAAGCCAACAACAATGCCAACAATGGCAAGCATATGTCAACATTTCGATTTGTTATTCAAATCTCAGAGCGCCATAAACCAAAACGGAATATGTACCAAAAATTAAACTCTGTCGTAGCCAGCTGTGTTTTCGGCCCCCACTCCCCTGCCTCCCCCTCGACCAGGGTCGTAAAAGTCAATATGGAACAATGGCGTTTAATTCGAGATCGGGCGTGAGTTATGAGCAAATCCGATCATAATCAGCATCTTAGAGATGAAATCCGAAATATCTGACCAAATCGGCGGCAATTATCATTTGGCCGCGCAGCCACACACACATTCCGCATAGTTTGCATAAATTAATTGGCCAGCTCATAAATGTACATAAATAGAAATAAATAAAACCCATTTTATAGCCACTCAAAAAGCCGAGAAATAATAAGGAAAATGATTTGCCGCATTTTATTTCCTTGGTTTTTTTTCGAGTGTGCAGTAACGCTAAAATTGAAACCATATATAATTTTTTATAACCTCCGATTGTTTGCTTTGTAAATATTTCACAGAAACATAATTCGGCGGATTTCGTTTAGCTTATTTTGAATGATTGTCTGATTGACTTGTATATGCAAAATGCTATACATTTTT